TGGTGCCTCAAAAACAAAACCCACTTTAATTATAAAGACACATATAGATTAAAAGTAAATGAATTAAGCTGCAGCCTGTTTTGCTCAGTGGATAGAGCATTAACCTGTGGACTGAAGGGTCCCAGATTCGATTACGGCCAAGGGCATATACCTTGGTTGCGGGCACATCCCCAATAGGGGGTGATGCAGGAGGCAGCTCCTGCATTGAGCGTCTGGCCCCTGGTGGTCAGTGCACATCATCACTACCGGTCGGATGGTAAGAAGGTCACTTGGCCTTTTATATATATAGATAGTAGTTCAACCACAACAAGATTTAAAATTTAATATTTCTTCTTATAATCTTTCTCACAGCTTATAAAAAAGATACTATAAGAGGTAACCAACAAAGTTTTTTAAATATTTTTTTAAATATATGTTTATTGATTTCAGAGAGGGAGAGAGAGATAGAAACAATGAGAGAATCATTAATTGGCTGCCTCCTGCACATCCCCTGGGATCAAGCACACAACCCAGGCATGTGCCCTGACCAGGAATAGAACCATGACCTCCTGGTTCATAGGTTGACACTCAACCACTGAGTCACACCGGTTGGGCAACAAAAAGATTTTTTGTAACAGTAATACAATTTAAATAGAACTATTACTTAAATCTTATTTGAAAAAATCTGAAGTGGTAATGGTATGTCCATCAGCCACAAAGAGGAATACTTTCATCAAGCAAATTATTAAGTTAAAATATCACTCAAGCCAATTTACAGGTTTCAAGATTATTTTCAGAAAGGGAAATATAAAATAAAGTCACTAGCTTTACAAAAAGTAAAAAAAATGCTTACTGTGTTAATAGTTTCCAATTCATTGAAATAGGAAAGCTTTTGTTGAATGTTTTCAGCCAGATCAACAAGTTCCGACTTGCATTTTTTAAAAGAGAAAAATCAGTTATTACAAGAACATAAAAATCAACACTCCAGTCTCAAAAATTATCTGAATCGATATACATAAGACATAAGATTTTAGAATAATGCTCAAAGATTTTTGCAATCATGGACTAAAATCAGCAATGATTATCACAGTAAATTATATTATTTTGTAACCTTACAAAATAATAAATTATTAACTGCCCTTTAAAAAACAGAACACACATAAAGAAAACTCTGAGATAAACAAAGTAATGAAAATAGTCTCTTTAAGTCACAATTTAAACACTACCTACATCACTTCATCTTTTCTTAAACCCCATCATTACCCATAAATGCTTTGCATTTCAAAAATATCAATGATAAAGAGCAGACAGAGCAAATTAATATATATTCTTCACTCTGAAAATGTACTGAGACCTAATAGCTCAAAACATAGGAAAGCTTATCCTTGCCCCTGTTCACATAAGCTTACTTAGAATGAAAAGAAGGCTGTCAATGTAATATTTTGCACTCTTATTAGCACAGGGCCTTATATAGAGCAGTGTTCAATATCTAAGTTGGAGAAATTAAGGAAACTAGAATTAAAAAGTATTCATCTATTTTAAAATAAAATGGTAAGCATAATCACTGACCCTCTCTCCTACTCCAAATTACCTGTTCTTTTAGGAGTTGTTCACAGGCTTGGTGTAGGGTTCCTGTCTTATTGGACACAAAAAGATACTGTTTCTGCAATGATTCCAGATGCTGAAGAGCACTGTTTACATCATTCAATATAGCATCACACTGCTCCTGAAACCCAGACAAGTAATCCCTCATCTGTCTAGAAAACAGAACCAAAAGGGGATTGGCAATAATATTTTCCCCCAATAGACATAGAAAATAAACAACAAAGTCTCATTTTTCCCCCCCAAACACTTGAATTTCAGAAGGAAAGTCAGGCCTATTCACTACAGTTCATTATATACAGAAATCTACCAAAAGCTATGTTACAGACTGTTTCAATACTTAAGAAGGAAAATTACTGAAACTAAAAGAAGCAACAACAACAATAACAATTAAAAAAAAAAAAAAGCCCAGCCAGTGTTGTTCAGTGATTGAGTGTCGAGCTATGAACCAGGAGGTCATGGTTTGATTCCCAGTCAGGACACATGCCTGGATTGCAGGTTCCATCCTCAGTGTGGGGCATGCAGGAGGCAGACGATCAATGATTCTCTCTCATCACTGATGTTTCTACGAGTCTCTATCAGTCTCTCTCCCTTTTCCTTCCTCTCGGAAATAATAAATACATATTTTTTTTAAAAAAAATTTTAGAAGGAGCAACAAAAGGAATCAGCCTTGAAGCCATAAACTGGCTTTTCACATGTAAGGCAATAAATCACCAGCTCAACTTTTAAAGTCTGAGACACAAGGGCCATCCATCCCAAGGCATCAAGGGCAATCCTTCAGGTCACTTCCACCTTTGAGAGATAGTGTGATGTCATGGGAAGAATTCTGGACTCAAAATTAGAAGACCTAAGTCTAAATCCCAGCTCTGCCCAAGTCTCCATGACATGAGGCAAGCTACTTTAATATCTCTAAGCCTTAGTTTGCTCGTTTGTAAAATGGGAATAATATTACCTTTTCTCACAGAGCTGCTATAAAGATTAATTGGAATCATACATCACAGGGCCTAACACAAGGCTTAGCAATTACAGTCACTAAAAAATATTCACTGAATAAAAGCCATAGTCCCCAAATCCGCCAGAAACAGTATACCACCATTTCTCCCTTGCTATCAATATACACAAACAGAACAACATGGTTACACCCTGGAAGCTAGGTGGCCATCCATAAAGTCTCTTGGGTCTCCCCTTTTAAAGAAAGGCAACAAACACCTCTTAGAGTTCCTGTACAATTACCACTTGAAACCAAACTTTCTAGAGTTATCTAAAAACCAATGTCTGCCACCCCTCCATCCCCCGCAACCCCTGCTAACTTATTAATTACAATGTAATTTTCTTTTCAATTACACAGCTTCTAATACCAGTTAACCCAAATCCTCTCCCTGGCTACTTTTAAAGAAAATATTGCTGTTGGAGTTTTCTTTCTATGTTAATTTTATTTAGAGACACGGGTTACAAAATGTTTTAGATGACTGTGATCTAAAAATTAGGATAGCCAACAAATGCAAGAGCCACATACCTATATTTAGTTTCTTCATCCTGATCCATCTGAGTTTGTAGCTTTGCAAACCATGAGAAAAACTGGAAAAATAAAGATTATACTGTCAACAAAACTAAAACAGACAAAATGAAAAGTGGCTACATGCTAAACAGCAAGTCAAAAGAGTAACACTAATTCTTATTGTTTGGGGATCAGATATTAATAATTGGTTTTAAACCCAGAGACAATTTAATTGTATAGTCAATATCTACATGCTAGGAAAAGCAAAGGATATTAAAAACAATGGCCCACGGACAACAATGTGGTGATTGATGGGGAGAGGAAGGAGTGGAGAAAGTGGAGGAGGGTATTGGTGGGGGGAATAAATGGTGAGGGACAGAGGCCTCACTGGGGGTGGTGAACACAGAGTATAGTGTACAGATAATGTGTTGTGGAATTGTGCACCTGAAGCCTATATAATTTTGTTAACCATTATCACCCCACTAAATTCAATAAAAAAGAAAAAAAATGGGTCATTTTCAGAGTTACTTTAAAAAGAGTATTAAAAATATATTGCCGAAACCGGTTTGGCTCAGTGGACAGAGCGTCGAGCTGCAGACTGAAAGGTCCAAGGTTCGATTCCGGTCAAGGGCATGTACCTTGGTTTCGGGCACATCCCCAGTAGGAGGTGTGCAGGAGGCAACTGATGGATGTTTCTCTCTCATCAATGTTTCTAACTCTCTATCCCTCTCCCTTCCTCTCTGTAAAAAATAAATAAATAAAATGATCAAACATCCTTAGAAACAATATTGCCACTCACCTGCTGTGCCGTTTCTATTTTTTCTTCTTCCATTTCTAATGAAATGAAACCATTCAAGAGAATGTCTTCTGTAGATTCAGGTACTATTGAAGTCTGTGCAATGGGCAGCGACTGGGACGTTAAATTGCATAAGTCTTCAATTGGGAGCTTGAAAAAGAAGAGCCACAAAGATATTTAAATAACCTGAAATTTCACTTAACTCAAGATTGGTATTACAACTCAGTTGTTTTGAAAGATAAATGAAAGTTTTCTATTAAATCATTTAAAGTTAATGCCATGTAATGCTAACATTTATAACTAGGCTCTCACTATATTAATTCTAGTCTCAAAATGTCAACATGACACTGATACCCCACCATTAGTAAAATTTGGTTTTTTAGTTGCCTTTCTAATACAGTGGGGCCTTGACTTACGAGTTTAATTCCTTCTGAGACCGAGCTCGTTAAGGAGCATGTTAAGGAGCTCGTTAACTCAAATTACTCTATCAACTCAATGCAAAAAAACAGCCGAGAGACAGCTGGTATCTCAAAAAACTCATTAGTCGGGACACTTGTAAGTCAAGGCCCCACTGTACTGGTGGTGAATCTATGCAAATGCACACACATTTTCTTACTTGAACAGCTTGTCAACTAGCACCAAAGGCAAAACCTGTGTGCTATTGAAAGTAGTTTGCCTTCCCCATCATCTACAGCAGTGGTTCTCAGCCTTGGCTGCACATTAGAATCACCTGGGAATCTTTTTAAAATCCTGATTTCTGGGCCTCATCCTCCAGAAATTCTGTTTCTTGTTATGGGGTGGGGCCACAACATTAGTAACAAAGAAACAGAATTTCCGGAAGATGAGGCCCAGAAATCAGGATTTTAAAAAGATTCCCAGGTGATCCTAATGTGCAGGCAAGGTTGAGAACCACTGCTCTAAAGCCTGACCTCATTAACACCAACCAACAGAAAACAAATCCCACCCAAGAATTAAGTACCAATAAACATTAACTCCTACCATTTCCACCCCTGGCACACTTTAGCCACACCTTCTTGCTGACAAATTTTGAAATTACAACTACATAGAATTTCAGTTTCCCAACTGTTTCAGAAGAGCCCCACATACAAGGCCTCATTTTGATGCCATCAGACCTATAATACTTTCTAGTCCTCCACTACTACTAAAGGTAGTCCAGTGCTAACTTACCTGTAGTGGTACAGACACACTGTCTTTAGACCTAAAAGAAAGGGAGTATAGATGCTGGGGAAGTTGTATAAGGGCCTAACTGTTTTGTTTCAATTCCAGTTTTTAGCTCTTAGGGCATGACATTTAAGGTCCAGCAATATAAAATTTTGATCCATAATCTTAAAAAACTGCCCTCCTGTCTATTCTTCTAGATATAAAAGTTTCATCTGAAGACAGCATTTTCTCTTTAAAACTGAAATAAACTAGATGCAAAATACGCCATCACTAATTTAAAAATACAATCCTTTAGCCCTAGCTGGTAAGGCTCAGTTGGTTGGAGTATTGTCCCATAACCGAAAGGCAGTGAGTTTGATTCCGGTCAGGACGCATATCCTGGTTGTGGGTTCAATTCACAGTCAGGCACATTCAGGAGGAAACCAATTGCTATTTCGCTTTCACATTGATGTTTCTCTCTCTCTCTCTCTCTCTCTCTCCATTCTCTCTCTCTAAAAAAATCATAAAAGCATGTCCTTGGGTGAGAATAACAAAAAATACAACTCTTTAAATACAGGGGGTATTGCACCTGGGTCCAAGGGGGGTTATACCTTCTTGCACAGTAAATAACATTATAGTGCAGCCTGTTTGAGCCTTGCTCCTGCTCATTTATAAGCTACGTGATAATGGGCAAATTACTTTCTGCTTCTAATGCTCAAATTCTTTGCTGTAAAATAGGATCTACATTATCTGTATCAAACAGCCATTGTGAAAAGAAGTACCGTATTTGCCGGCGTATAAGACGATTTTTTGGCCCTGAAAAATATGCCTCCAACTGGGGGGTCGTCTTATACGCCAGGTACACTTCAGATAGACTGCCCATAGTGCTTGCCCCCTGGGTGAGAGGTGGAAAAGGCAGG